GAATGGCATTAGCTACCAGCTATTTAAGGCAGAGATACGAAACTGCTTCTATAGAGTCAATAGGAAGTCTGTTTGAATGGCATTAGCTACCAGCTGATCCGAGAAATTGAAATGTTAGCCAATCAAAATCAAGAAAATGTGTAAAACTGAGGTGTGATTTTTCCTCATAGAATTATAAATTTCCAGGCCCCAAATCCTTTCCTCGATAAGTTTTGATAAAAGTGACGCAATAATTAATGACCCCTCGTTATTGCAGTGACGTCATTGCTACGTCACTATTTCAGATCAGCTGATCTAAAAAATCTAATGAATTACCTATGAATTTCCAATTTTTCGTTGTCTAGATTCCCGAAAAGGACGAAACGTTTACCATTCTCCTTCAAAGAAAAACCGGTCAAGCTTCCTTTGGCGACCGCACTAACGTCACATTAATCATCAAGAAAAATGACGACCCGATCTTCTTTGAGACCACAAACATCAAGGTCAGAGAAGGACAGATTGCAAACCTCACCATTCGTCGTGGTGGAGACGGACTTAGTTCAGTAACAGTAACATATAGCACCTTCGATGGGACGGCTCGAGCTTCTGATGGTGATTTCCTTGCAATTTCTTTCGAGCGGTTAACATTTGGTGTAGGAGAGTTTAATAAATCCATATCGGTCGTCACTCGTGATGACGAGAAAGCTGAAGGAGTGGAAAACCTTACTGTGAAACTCTTGAATTCAACTGGAGATACAGTTCTGCAGAATGCCGTTGCAACGATCTCGATCTATGCAAGTGATGCTGGTACTGGGTTGTTCGAGTTTGATAAGAATGCGCCTTTGAATAAGACGATTAAGGAGGATGGCTCTCAGGCTAGCTTCAAGTAAGTTGAATGCAGATGAAAATACGAATGTAAAAGGGTTTACCCTGAAATAACCGAAAATAATTGCCTCCGGTTCATCAAGGGGGCGGGCGATCCTCCAATCACGTGATCGTTTTTTTTTCTTTTTGGGACATCATTTGGGCTTGGATTTTAAGATATTTCTCACTTCTAGAGAGTGTGTGAGCGCACGCGCGAGTGTGGTGGGGGGAGCGGAGGGTGAAATCAGGATTTCCCCGCCTCTTTTCCTAAAGATCAACGTTCTCTAGCATGCTATCCCAGTACTAATGTACTCCATGTTCTTTCTTTAGAATAACAAGAACAATAGCCAGCCATGGTGTAGTCCATGTTTATTGGCAAGTGTTTAGTTTGCTTGACAATGGTAGCCTAGCAACCATCTCTTCAGGCGTTGACTTTAAACCTGCAGTCAATTACGTCATGTTTGCTGATGGAGACAATGAACAAAATCTCGTCATAACACCATTAAATGACGTCACCGCCGAAATGAATGAAAAGTTTGTTATCAAGATWATYAATGCGACTGGTGAGTATATGTTAAGAATAAATGCAGGTTTTTAAAGTGCTACTATGACGAAAATCGCTCAAATTTGGATTCAGCTGAAACTTCCTAAGAATACTCTTTACAGGTCCAATAATCACTGTATGAAGTGTTTCCTCGATATTCAGGACGAAAGTATGATATTTTTACGATTATTTTTTGGAGTCTGTGACGTCATACACTCAACATCGAACATCGCTCCATACATTTCTTTGTAGTTTATGATCAAAATATCAGTAGTAAAGGGAGAAAGAAATACCCAAACACCCCAAAATATAAATTATAGTCACAAGTAATGTGAAATAAGCACATTTGCGCTTCATAGGAATAAAATAAATTAAGGATTTATATACAAAGAAATATATGT